TCATACAAACTACAACAAGTAAATAACTTATCTCTAGTTTCTCCCCAAGAACACTCCTCAAAGTTCCTCTGAATCTCTTCCTTTCTTTACAGCACACAGAATTCCTCTTCGAAGTAGCAAGGAGGAAGAAATTTCTTACTTTCCCTCCACCCTTACAATTTCTCGAAGAATTCCTCACAATATTGGAACCTTTCTAATCTCTAGAAACTCTCTCTAGCACTTCCTTTACTCCCTAGATTCTCTCTCCCTCTCAAGGCTCTCTAATTTTCGGCCAAAATAGTCTTTTAAAGTTGTGGATGAGCTTTCTCAAGAGTTGCCTAAGCATCCCTTCAAAATTTGGTCTTATCCAAAGCTTGAGTAGGCATAACCGTCGATCTCGCCGTCAGCGGCCTCGAGGGCGCCTTCGGCGGACTTCTGAGAATTTTGTCCTGTAGCCTCCGTCAGCGAGGTCGAGGGCGTTGTCGGCGGGGTCGAGGGCGCCGTCGGCTGCCTAGTTCAAAACTCCACATTTTGGTCCTTTTCGCTCCAAATTCGCTTCTTTTTGCATTTTTTTGCTCCAATGACCCAAATTCATCATTCCTGCAACAAAACATCAAAAATATCTTTCTTTAAAGTGCAATATCATTAAAAACAGTATAAAATAGGTATGAAAATTTCAACATATTTTCCTCTAGCCACCAAGCCCATGAGCTTATTATCCTAGGTCGTAAGAAGTTGATAAGATTTGTTTTGTACGTCCCCATGCGCCACACGGGAGGGACACGAAGACGTACAAAAGGAAAGAGAGGGATGGGATTTCTCTCGCTTTTGGCATAGCAAGCCTCCCCCAGGGAGGCCCACACGACGGGCTATTAGCTCAGTGGTAGAGTGCACCCCTGATAATTGTGTCGTTGTGCTTGGGTTGTGAGGGCTCTCAGCTATATGGATGGTTCAATGTGCTCATCGGCGCCTGACCCGTAGATGTGGATCATCTAAGGCACATTTGTGGCATTTTTAAAATGAAATTGATAATTTGCTAAGGTGTTGCTACAAAATTACTATATAAATACATGTTGGTGGCCAACAAGTGGTGGAATGCTACAAAATTTTCACTGTATTTTGCTATATTTAGCTACAATCAGTTTTAAGATGATTTATAATTTGTTAAAACAAAGTTGCACTTTTCTAGATGTGCACGCGATAGACATATTGTCTGCATGTTCATAGAGTTGTATGTTATAGGTTAGGAAACCTACTGTCCAATGCCTAGAAGAAATACGGCGTATGGATGGTAGTTACTTTTTTTAAAAAAGATTGAACTTTTGGATTAATGGATTTTATTTACAAAATGCAACACAATCGGCTGCATTTCCTTGATTTTGATTTATGGGGACGCTTCCATTGTTATTCCCACTTTAGTATCCTCCATTCTCCATTGCGAAACTCTAATTATTACATTGCGAATTGCGATGTTTATCGAAAAAAATAAAAAACACACACGCACCGACACAACAACCCAGGTGTGTGTTGTATGCATGGAAACATCCTAAGTGTCTCTCTTGACGTCACCCATTTAACAGGTACTATTTTAATGGGGGCATTCACATACATGTCACCCAATTCCAAATTATTCATAGGAAAAATTACATACATAGCACTCAATTCTTATTAATTTACCTATCTCCCACCTAAAGTTTCATTTTTACACACATAATATTTTACATATGAATGAAAAGATAAATTTAACTATTAAAAAGTGATAATGAGTACTACTCTTCATATAATAATTATAAATATAAAAAATCAAATGTGCCACTGATAAATATGAAAACTTTTAAGTGTTGTGTATTTAATGCCCCCTTATTTATATACTAATACCCAAATATTTCATAAAACATTAAAAACACCATCATTTTAATTATTTTAAATTAAAAGACCTGTTTACATGCATACATCATATGTAAAAATTAAAATTTAGGTCTTAAATATGTTGACACCTGAAAATGAGCTGTATGTACATAAATCTTTCTCATTTTGGGGCATTTACACTCAGACCACCCAATTCCTCATAAATAAAGTAACAATTTTATAACATTTGATTTGCATCAAAATTCAACACTGAACTCAATAATATACCACCAACTTTTATTTTGCATTTCTGAAATGAAATGAAATGAAATGATTTTTATCTTATACCCCCAAATGTCTATATAGAAAAAAGTAGCCCGATAAAATAACTTTGAGGAGGTGTTCAGCTGCCTTTTAGATTTAAGTTGAGTAAGATTTACTAAATCCGGTAACTCTTAATTCACTAAATCTTAAATCCAAAAAAATTGTGTTTAGTGTTATTTAGATTAAATCCAATTAAATCCATAATAAATATTTGGCATTTATTTTCAAGATTTGGCACATGAAGTGAGTCATTTTCTTAAATTCAGCTCCAGTTCGGATTACATAAAATTTTGAATTTAGCCCGGCAACGGGATTTAAATGTACCGAATTCGTGTTTGGCGAAACTTAGGGTCCGTTTGGGATGACGGCAAGAGAGCATCGCGGCCTGACACCGCAATTTGTTGTCGTTTGGCGTGGCGTCCCGCTGAAAGCTGCCTGCGTTCCAGCGTTTGTGTTTGGCGGAAAGCAGGCCGCGGATAGCAGCCTGCGTTCCAGCATTTGTGGGGAGCTTTCGTCGATAATACCCTTGTCCTTGAGCAAATATCTGCTTCGCATCGACACCGAATAGTGTTCGCCCCCTCTGTCCCCACTATCGCGCGTGCGATCCGACTCCGGCAAGCCATCAACTCTGAAGTGGAAGAGAGGTTATTCGGGCTTTTGGCTGATCTGGGCTATTGAGCTTTGTAGGGTACGATTTTATTCATTTAAACGGATAAAGGTTGTATTTTGCATCTGGGTTCTGGTTATTGGGAGGTCTGTAGGTGGAGTCTGGTTGGAAAGATGGCTCCTTTTTTGCTATCCTTGCTGAGAGTGATAATTTCTCTTTTGGATTTGCATCTTGTAAAGAAGAAGTTTCTCTTTTGTTTCTTCCGCAAGTTTATTAACAGGTGCAGGTATTTCTTCGGGATTCCATTTCAGCAATCTGCAGCTTTTGAAGGATTCTTCTAGTGTTTTTTGTTGTTGGAGTGATATTTTGAGATTGGAAGTTTAGTTAAATGAATATGAAAGAAAGCAAGATTTTCCGGGGCTTTTATTCATACTGGGCACTAAGCTTTCTTCCACTGATGCTTTGGTTGAATGTGGCTTATTCCTCTCTTTCGCCTTCTGGTATAAACTATGAAGGTGGGTAGCTCTTGAGGTTGGCTTTTTCATCCTTGTGCCATTATCATGATTTCTTATTGTTTAATCTCTCTTATATTCTAGCGTCAAGCATTAGTACAGCTCAGAATGTTTTCTTTTTTCGAGTCTACTGGCTTTAGCAGCACTAGCCCGGTAAACATTTACAAAATTTTGATATCTTCTATTGTAATTCTAATCTAATTCCGCAATTTAAATCACCTCATTTTATAAGTAGGTATATGAGGTTTGTATGATTTTTTCTTCAAGCTGCCTATTATAATTATGAGATTCCTGCCATGAAGAGTAAAACATCGGGCGAGTGGTTGGGTTTTACATTTACCTATTTACACTATGAGGTTTTGAGAAATTCAAACATTATGCCCTTGTTTTCTTCTTAAAAATATAAGTAATTTAGAATGATACTCTTATAACTTAGGAGCAGAGATTTACACCGGGTGAGTTGTTGGGGTAATGGACTAATGATTTGTAGGAATGTTGATGAGGAGAAATTTATCATCTCCTTGCTGTTAAAATTGTAGCTCTGCTATCATTAAGGAAGATTGACGGAGAAAAAAAAGAGCTAGCAATGAGGAAGCTTCAGTATTTTTTCTATATTGAAAAACACATGCTTTTTTCTAGGGAAGCTTCACTATTTTAATCTTTTTAAGCTATCCCGAAGTTTCTATTTTATATATAAAAAAGATATGTATGGCTCCCAATCTTCAATGACATCAAGCATGGATTTGTTCCATGAGATCATGGCCAGCAATCTACTTCTATCCCTTACCACTCTTGATTTGTGAGCTATCATGGCTCCTTTTCATGGAAGGTGGCTTGATTTGTATTGCTTAGCCATACAAGTATTAAATTTATGGCTTTTGAGATTGCTTAGAAATTGTTGAATTCTAATTTATACATGTTTAGCACATAAAGTAAGTGGCATGCAAGCTCGTTGTTCATGGATTGACCTCACACTAGTATTGAAAATGAGAAGATAGTTTATAATATTTTACCTTATATGATGAATGAAACTTTTCACATGGATTGACCTCACTTTCGGGGCTCACTATTAGGTCATTAGTGCATATGAACCTTCTGCTCTGTTTAGAAATGTATTTCTGCTTTTGAAGTTTTAAAAAAATGATTGTTACAGTTTCCTTTTAAACAGTTTTATCAAACAAGGGCAGTATGATCATTTTTATTCAAAAACAACTGCCCCACCTCTATTTTCACACAGCTGCACCAACCAGACGGTCAGCCTCCCCGCAGTAGCTTCTTGGGGCAGCACAGCTGCAGTTGAAAAGCTGAGAAGTTGCAGCTGCGCCAAACAGACCCTTAATCTAGCAAAGGCTGCCTGAGAAAGAGTCCAGTTAAAAAATTTTTGGTGCGAGGAGACCCAAAACGTCTGGATGATTAAAAGCCAATAACTTTTTAGATGTCTTAAGGCTTTGTTTGAAAACAAAAAATAAAAAACTTAGAAGTTATACTAGTACTAAACAAGGGTGTCGGGAAAAACAAAAAGTATGCCAATTAAATTCCCAGTCCGTCTATATATCAACTCGAAATATAAAATCCTCATCGTCCAGCTCATCGTGGATCAAACTCATTCCGGGAACAACGCACGCATCATCAATGCTCGGGTATTTGCTTTCACAAGACCGCCTTCCCTGAAAAATGAGGCACATGCAGGAAAGAAAACATTAAATAAGTTCAAATGTGTGTGTATTATTGTACATCCATATAACTCTTCTCATTTACCATACTTTTTATCTAATCCGCCATCTACACAAAAATAAAAAATTGCTGCACATAAAGAAACCTATCAAACTTTATTTCTTCATTCAATGTTGCAGTGTAAAATGAATTCATCAAATAAACAGCACAATCACAAAATGGAATACAATAAATGGACATTTTAACTTTTCAGCAAATAAATCTAAAACATAAAGGCAAAAATAGCTAAGTTTCTCACCTTCTTCAGAGTGTATACGAAATAATGAAATCCTTCCCCAAATGTTTTCCATTCGACAGACCATGTAAAACATGGAGCTTCAAACAGTTGACGCCTGAAGTGTGGCTGTATGTATGGGACAGTAAATTTAAGTGAAAAAATGTAAAGTGAACATGTATATATAATTTACCCAACTTCTTTTTACCTGTCCAAAAGAAATGGAGATGAAAATTCCATCTGGTTTCAGAACCTTGTGCACGCCTGTTAGCATTTGCATCACTTTGCTTACTGTATCAGACCTGGGATTCCATGGATCACCACTGTCAACGTACAATACATCCTTCAAATCCAAAATGATAATCTCAATGCAGATTGTAGACAATTCTTAACCAAGGTAATGAAACTGCAACAGACTATTGCTACAGTACTCAGGCCAATACAACAAACGGTAGGAAAATCTCTGAATGGCGGTGATAACAAAAACTCAGTAATAATCTAGCTGTCATTCTACATTGTTTTACACACGCCATCAAGCAAGGTTTGCAACAACAGTGAGAACAACATCACTACAAGTGTTTTTTTTCCAGAAAAACTCTACTCTCATGAGAAGATTAGAAGTGATTGAAAAGTAAGGCCAAATACTAGCCAGGAAATACATTTATTAGTTACATTAATTCTTGGACAACAAGAATCGGGAGATAAAAATATCAAATTAAAATCAATAGATATTTTATGAAGGAAATTTTAACTCCTGAATATCAGATATTCGCCTTGGATACCTACTTGCTCCATATTCATGTCAATCTTAGCATAATACTTTCATCAAACTACAACCTAAAACAACTTGGACAATTTTGCGCCTATGCTTTTTAATAAATTTTTGCGCTTTTAAACTTTCAAGGTTAAGCAAGGAATAAGAATTGCCAGTTAATAATTCTTTCAATGACTGAACACTAGAAAGAACAAGTCCTGGTGGAAGTTCTTTGATGTTCAATACAGCTAGGGCTGCCACCACAGCTAGGGCTGCCACCAGATCTTCAATTTCAGTACACCATAATCACAGCAGACAGCAAAGAGAAGGAAGAATAGTCCTTTTGATGACTGAAATGAACAAGATCTACGATAGCCCAATGAGAACAGCTGTATTCTGTTAGTACTTCACTATATTTATCCTTTCATTATTTGTTCACATGCCATTAAGGAATGAAATACATGTTCTGGAGCAAATCATACTGCTTTCAATGGCAACCCAAAAAGTCAAGGTGACAGGTATTTGATGCTAAGCACAGCCAAAGCCGCAAAAGACCTTGAAGTTTGGTTCTCCCTACAAAGAACAATAAAAAAAAGGGACATAAGGTGGGGCTTTCGAGGATGGAGTAGAGATGACAAAGGTGGCCAAAAGTCCGGGGATTTCCGTCATTATACATGTTAACGCATCCATAAATCAGAAAGGTGCCAAATTGACAAGATATTTGAGCCTACAGGAAGAAAAGAAAATTGTTGTATACAATTTATTATTCACAAATGATGCTGGAGTAACAGCTCTGAATCTGTATAGTCATTCGAAATATATCATCTTTAAGTAGATAACTTGATATTGTACGCTCAAAGATAAATCAGCCACAATACTTGAGCTGATCATTCATATAAACATTCTGCCAAAATATTGATGCGTCATGCCTCAAACTTGCAGCACTTCACCTTGATAAAGACGTTGGAAACAATTTATTAATTATTTCAGCCTAAAAAACAGCTAAAGCACTTGGCTCGTTGGTTCATCAACCGCAATAAACTAGCAAAAAGTTCAACAAAAATCAAGGAGCAACAATAGAGCTAAATGAAGGTTTAAGAGGATTTAGAACAGGAATCCCAGTGAAGTTTAAAACAATACTTAACAATTTGGTTTGCTAGGTAATTGAAAATAGATTAATATAGTCTACAATGTCTATCCCAAGCTTGGACGAAAAAAGTTAAAAATTTATGTTAGTTTGAGAAACAAACAAACAACTATGGTAAAATCCATGAAATTAAGCAAAATGGACGATTGTACTGCTAGATGTTTCCTAAGGAGACACCCTACAAAATAGCCCAATAGAAATTAAAATTAAGAGGTGGTTGGCTTACAGCCTAAGACATCATTCCGATATGATACAGCCATATTGCAGATTTTAATGAAAAATAGAAAAGAGTGAGATAAAAGGCATCAAAAACAACTGACATGCCGCAATTTATTAAAACCAAATATAGGTAATTGACTAGGTTTCCTTAAAAATAGAACAAAAAAAAAATCTGAAATTTGCATTCAATGTTAAGGATAGAATATTAGTAGACACTTTTAAGAATAAATATGCATGCATGAAAAAACTTCATGGAAGGAAAATAAAAAATCCAAATATATTAAAGAGATTATAGGCAATTGCAAATAGGGATGGATGAAAAATAAAACTCTTGAACTGACAAATTAATGAGAAACTATATATAATAAGCTGAGTTAATATAAAGGCATCACTTGCTCATACACCTCAAGTTTTATTTAAAAATAGCATTAAAAATTTTTTTCAGGAAAAAATGGATTGAATACTAAAGTATATGCATGAGGAGGAAACGACAATTATTGGAAGAAATTAAAATGAACATGAAGCTTCTAATAGAGATGAAGAATGTTCAATGAGAAGCGACATTAGGATGAAATGAGATATGTAAATGTGATTGAAGAAACTGTGAGTGATTTCCATAACGCATAATCTAATAATAGTGAACAAATAGCTTTTGCAACAAAAATATTACTAATTTCATAGATTGTGAACTCAAAGAGACCTCCAAAATATCATGTTAAAGCCTGAATCCAAACATATCCTTGATACGCCACTAACAAATGTTCATCATTTAGCACAAATCTTGGGGCATGCACGGATCTCGAGGCAACCTTTTGAACAAAAAAAAAACATTTAAACCTCAATCAAAAGTCATCCGGAGTTCAGATTTCAACAAAATTATAGCTAAATTGATCGCTCGATGAGACGGACCTAATGATATAAAAGTTAGTCCAATCCGAGTCAAATCAGCGTCGGATCAAGTGATTAAACCACTATTGGATGATTTCTGGAGGCATTTGAAAGGTCAAACAGATGCCGATTCTAGCGAGTTTATAGTTGAATCGAGCGTCTCAAAAAGACGAATCCAACGAGCCTAAGATTGCTCAATTCCGACACCGTTAAGGCACTCAAATGTCCATCAAAAGCTATATGATCAAGGGAAGCTCTCCGGGCCGTCCGATCAAGATGGTTCATATTTCTGCATTAATTGCACTCAAAACACTATAAATAGAGCCTCACCCCTCACATGAGGGGGGGGAGGCTTAAGAGAGAACATGAGGCTTTGAGAAAGAGCTTAAGTCCAAGATCATCCTCGCCATCGTCGATCGTCGTCGACCACCACCCACCGCCCACCACGAACCACCCCCCCTGTCCCCCCCCCCTTAAAAAGTCAACCACCGCTTACTGGACGTCATCAGTCGACGTCATAACGTGGAAAGCTAGTAACCATTTCCCGCCTGTGGGACAAGGGGCATCTGTAATTATCATCTTATAGTGGATTTTTACAACTGGGCAAGGCCCCGTGGTTTTTCCCTTTTTACGGGTTTTCCACGTAAAAATTTCTGGTGTGATCACAGCTTGATTCACTGTCATCTGAGTGTGTGCTGTATTTTCGTGCAACGCTAAGACGATAATCCATTACTCTACCGCCGCGAATTTTCTAGCACGCATCAACCCTAAATTTTCTAATCCTGAAATAAGTAATATTTTGTTGCAACTCATAGCACTAATAACTGAAATTTACGCTTTCAACTCATATGACCAAAATAAGTGATATTTTTTATCTCATAATTAAGTGCAACAAAGTTTTTTTTTTATTTCATTAATATATTCTTCCTTGATATAAACCCTATACTTAAGGTTAATTACAATCTATGATACCTGCAAATGACACACTCGATTATTGATGACTTGTTTTATTTTAATTTGCTAGAATTTAAATCAAGGAATACTATACCTCAATAATAGTTATCCAAACATGATAATTTTATCTTTGAAACCAATCCATTCATAAGGCAAAGATAAATTATTCATAGCAATTAATCTATCATTAATTGTAGTAATAACATATTGATGATAAAGTAGTCATTCCCATCAATAATTGTTATTACTACTTTATCACCATCACTTTCGAAATTAGCCCTGAGATGCCTAAAACATTCACTCCTTTTAATAACTTGATCAACCATTATTATAACCTCACCATTAGGTTAGCTACTTCTAAAATTACATTTCATGTATTTAGTTTTAGATTTACTCAAATGAAAGCCTTTAGACTTTAAACTTGACCTCCATAATTTAAGTGTTTCCTGAACTCTCTCTGCTCTTATCCACAAGAAGAATATCATAAATTAATAACATATACCAAGGTGCAATCTCATGTAAATGTCTAGTAAAAACATTCATAACTTAAGTAAAAAAATATAGGTTTAAATTTGATCCCTAATATAATTCAAATAAAATAGAAAAAAAAAACTTGGTCAATCCTACTTGTGTTCGAACAAGTAAAAGCTTTAGTAGATATATTTTTAATGACATGAATATAAGCAATATCAACACTTTTTTTCTAGAATTCTCCAAAATACTTCTCTTGGAACCTTATCATAATCTTTTTCTAATTCAACAAAAAAGTATATATAGACCATCTTTACTCTATATACACTTATCCATCAAACCTCTCAATAAATATATAACTTCCATATTAAACTTGCCCGACATAAATCCAAACTGATTTGGAGAAATTTTTGTATCACATCATAACTTCCATTCAATTATTGTCGCCCGTTAACTTTAATATATGACACATTAACTTAATTCTTTTATAATAACAACAAAGTTGTGCATCTCTTTTATTCTTAAAAATATAAATCAATAGACTCTTTCTTTACTCATCAGATAATTTTTTAATTTTTTAAATAATATTAGAAGGTTTAATAAGTAAAAAAATTGTCATATCTCCTAAATATTTTCACAGTTCTATTGGAATAACATTATGACCTAAAGCTTTTCCAAATTTCATCTTTTTAAAACCTTATCAACTTCTGTTTTACAAATGTGATGGTAGAAATAAAAAAATATATATTATTAGTTACGATATTAAGATAACTAAAGTCAATCATAATTTCACAATCTTCATTGAAAAATTTATCAAAATATTTTAGCATTCTCATCTAAGAAAGAACTTGTGTATTCCCATCTTTACTACAGTTTACTAGAACAAATTTTTTTACTTATCCATTTGCTTAGCTAGTTTATGCATATACGTTTCATCATCTTTAATATTTAATCTATTATAACGATCACTAAAAAAAGAATTCTTAGCCTCATAAATTATTCTCTTACACTCTCAAGAGATCATCTTATAATTTTTCAATTTTCCAAATTTTTATATATAAATCAATTTTCATAACAAAACATCTAATTATTTTTTTCTTGTGCATTATTTTTTCACCACTCAATATTTTTATTCATAAGAGTTTTTTCTTTTGATTCTCCAAGTGTATTTTATGTAACTTGCTTAATAGTACTAATTATTTATCCCACGTTATATTATAATTTTCATGAACATCACAAATATTAAAATCCTGAATTTACTCATAAAAATAATCTAATTTGTGGCGTTTAAGTATCACCATCTTATTATATACCAATATTTTGTTATGATTTTCATCTTTCAACCTTTCATCCTAAAATCCAAAAGTAATAATTTATGTTAAATAATCAAATTTTCACTTGGAATTGAGTTACATACTTGACAATTTATTTTACTCATTAGAAGATAATGAATTTATGATTTAATAGATTCATTCTTATAAGTATTAATATGTTCATTTTTTTTCTTAAAAAAAATAATAACATTAAGAAAATCATAACATAAAGTAAAATTTAATATGACTTTACATTATTTATTAGTAACTCCAAAACCATATACCATGAATACTTCTAAAATCTATCTTCATTCTACCAATATGTCTATTTAAATCTCCTCCAATTAAAAAAAAAATTTAAGATGTATCATTTATATTAATTCTTCTAGATCATTCCAAAATTTTTCTTTTGAGCATATATCCAAATTTAATTGGAAAACATAGCACTTATAAAATTGAAAATCTTAATATCAATAATAACCTTTGAAAATATAATTTTATCTCTAATTATATTAATTTTTACAATATTACATTTTCTAATTGAATACCAAAGTTATAAGCGTTGATAGCATTAAAAATTTAGTATCAAGAACATATTTTAAAGCTATAATTATATCTTCAATTCTATTACTTTTTATAGCATTACATTTACAATCTAAATACAAAAGTTTAAAAACAAAACTATCAATCTCATTATCCTTTTTTCTAACCCATTTAATTTCTTGAATGCATAAGATATTTATTTTCCTAAGAAAAATATTTACTAATTTTATTAATTTAACTGTAAAAGTACTTATACTACAAGTTCATATCATAAATTTAGATTCATGGAGTATTTTTTTTTGCTTGCATCATTCATAATTTGAAAAATTTTACTTATTTAATACTACATCTGGACATCAGTGCAATGACCCTAGCACATTTTTCACTGTATTCGTCATATAGCATGTCGGATCTAAGGGCATCCTAGAATTGGCATAATAATTTAAAAATTCATGTCAATTTTTCGACAAAAAATTTTACAATGAATGTGGACTAAATAATGCAACGATCAACTATTCGTATTCAGGGCTTGGAACCCGACAATAACAGTGTTATAGTACAAGATTGATAAAAAAATTGATGCTTAATTTGAAGAAAAATGTAAAGCATTTGTGCAGGAGATTTGGACTACCACGACATATCGATTTTTGACAAATTTTAAATGTGTCCAAACTAAACAAAAAAAACTCATGCTTTTTAAAAAATGCATGCATTCAAAAAACATAGTATTTCTAAAATGCATTCACTTTAAAAGAATTCAAATAAAAACTCATTTAACAAAAAAAAATTACAAACTTTACAACAACAACAACAAGCCTTTATCCCACTAAGTGGGGTCAGATACATTAATCTTTTTTTCTCCATTGCATCCTACTAAGTTTAATTCTAATAGCTCGAGATCGTTTTTTTATACAATATGCCCAATTTTTTTTTAGGTCTACCTCTGCCTTTATTAACATAAGTCAAATTTAAAACATCTACTTTCCTAACTGGATCATGAGATGGTCGAAGTTTAATGTGACCAAACCATCTAAGACAACTCTCTCCAATCTTGTCTGCCACTAGAGCAAACCTTATCATGGATGTATTAATTTCGCATTCTCTCTTTTAAAGGCCAACATTCAGCGCCATGGAGCATTACAGGTCTCACCATCATCTTCTAAAATTTTCTTTTCAGTCTAAGCGGTACTTTTCTATCACACAATAGGCCTAATGCATTCCTCCACTTCAACCAACCAGCTTGGATTCTACTAATATCCTCATCTATATCACCATCATTTCGAACAATAGACCCAAGATATCTAAAACGTTCACACCTTTTAATGATTTGATCACCCATGGTTACAACTCTGCCACTAGAGTTAGTACTACAAAATTTGCAAAATTTTAAAAAGTAAAACATTATTAATCATAAAAGATCAAGTGTTGATAGAAGTGAAGAGAAAATAAATATTGGTGCTAGTTGTGAAAATGATGACCAATTGGATGAAACAGTAATCGCTAGAATCACATAAAAACCTATAAATATATGAAACAAAAGCAAGAACACCTGATATTGGAGTGAGATGAAACTATAATTTAATAGAGTGAAACATAACAAAAAAATAAAATACCATCACAACATGCAATAAGAAGCCAAAAGTTGTGCAACTAAAAAACTAATTGCAGCTAAAATTAGATTTTCGTGATATATAACATTATGAATAAGCTAAAATTAGATTTTGGTGATATATAACATTATGAATACTGGTGATATATAACATTATGAATACTGTGGAAGGAGAAAACGAGATATATAAAATATCTAAGGCTAGGGGAAGAAATCTGAAAATTTTAAATAAATTAGTAGCACTGAGAGCAAAGGAAATAGCGTGAGATAGATAAAAAGTTAAGAGAAGGATGAAAGAAAAATGTATGCTAGTGAGAAACTTAATGGAACAACTAAAATTAAAGGAACATTGGGTCTAAGTTACTAAATGTTGAAAAAAAGAGTATTAAGTTGATGCAGAGAATGTAGTGGATGGAGGTGTAAAAATAAAATTGATCTTGTATAAGCTCAATACTAGTGGGGACATTATACAGTTATAGTCACAAGTGCTTTTGACTACAAAGAGTTTTTTAAAAAAATGGGAGAACATATATTAAGTATTGCATTGTATGAATAAGGGGGTATAAATATTGGATATAATTTAAATGAACATGTAGCTTTTAGTAGGAATCATTGTAAAAGTCTCATATAAGAGATCAAAATGTGATCGAAGAATCTATGTTTGACTTCATTAGCAATTGTTCTTGCAACAGTGAATATGTAGCCTAAAAAAAATGAGCACTTTGCTACTCCTAGAAGTATAGCTACCATACTAGATAGACTTTATTTTTTTACATTAAAATAAAATTCTTTCAAAAATTTTAAGATGATTGCAGTAGAATAACTACACAGCAAAAGTTAATAATAATGGATGCATATATTAAAATATTAACAAACTAACCAAACGAGAAAAATCTTCATGACATGAGATGATGTGGTTTAGAAATGAGAATTTGTTGATTGATTGTTGAGGGAGGTGAGTAGAAGTTAGAAAATGGAACCGAACAAGATGTAAAAGATGATTAATTGCAAAAAAATATCTAGAAATAAATCATAAAGAAGATATTTGGCAGTGGAGTAAGGAGGTACTAATAATCATTAAAGAGAAACAGCATACCTATAAAATAAAAGAGAGAAAATATAATTAAAACTAGCAACAGCAAGCTAAAACATTTTACACATAAGATGTTAATCTAAGCTGTCATATAAATTGATGATATGTAAGAGATGATAAACATTATGGAAGGAGAAATTAAAGTATATAAAATAGCTCAGGCTGAACAATGAGATAAATAAAATTTGATTCAATTAGATTTGCTAACACTAAAAATAACCTGCTCTGATTTTAAAATGAAAATATCAAAAAATAAAATAACACTATTTTTAAAAATATAAAAAAAGAATTAGGTAGGATGTATTCTTATAAGATTAATGCAAGTAAAAACCATAAAATATATTATACATTACCCCATAATGTGAAATTGAGCATTGAAGAAAATGCAAGAAAATAACATTTCAAGTCTCAATGAAATACAAGTTCTAGAGATTATGAGAGGGTATAGGAGTTGTTCATCTGCTTAAATTTCTATAAATCTAAGAAAAAGTTCCATGGTTGAAGAAGAAACATTTTGGCAACATTCAAGAATAAATAAGATGTCCATAGTTATAGTTATCTAAAGGGAAACATTTTAAGAATCCTATAACGAAATTATGGAAGAGAGCAAGGGAATATACGCTTGAAAAAATTATGTCCATAATGAAAAGAAGGTTTAAGAAGAATACTAAGCACATGGTATCAAACCTTAGTGGAGGTAAAATTGATAATTATTGAAAAAAATTATGGAATATCAAATAATAAATAGGCCCATTATGGATCTAAGTATTTACAATTATTAAGAAGTGAAAAAATATATAGATGAGAAAATGAATGCTAAAGTTAAATTGGATGGAACGAACAACTGACCATATAAATGACGGGAACCTGATACATCAAAAGGACAAGAAACTTGAACTACTGTGGAAGTATTTGGTTTAACAAATAATAGATCAAAGGTAAAATACTAAAATCTTGCAAAAACAATTCTGCAACATAAAACAACTAGCTTGTGCATCATCCAATATGATTTGAAACAAAAATAAAAGATTAAAAAAAGCCAACCATATGAAAGTAGAATAATGTGAAAAAATGATGCTGAATCAAATTAGCAGTACCTATGGACCTCATAAATGGAATCAACACACTCCAAGATGGGGCAACAAAAACAAATGAATGCATGCCAGGATGAAACAGAAAGACTGTCACTTACCATTGTTCCTTTTTCTATAACAATATCAAAGCTCTCACTCTCAAATGGAAGGTCAAGCATGTCAGCCTGAATCACTTTGATTCCTTGAAATAAAACACCAAAAAAAAATAATAATAATTAGAAATGAAGACTTTGAAACAACACTTACTACTGTGCTTTAGCCAGGGCAAGCAGTTAAGTTACAATCAATCATACTTAATAAAAGCGTGTAACCACGTTATCAAGAACAAAAAGAAAAGAGAGGATGGAACGATCAGATACGATACAAACCTTTTTCTTTCAAGCGTTGTCTCATCCTCTGCACAGCAATCGCAGAGAGATCGATACAAGTTACATCGATCACACCCTCACCGTGCAGATCTTCGCTGAGTTGTGAATTCCCACAACCCAATTCTAAAATCTAACCAGAAACCTAGCCCGTTGAAGCAATTTATACACAAGAAAAAACTGAAAACTACAAATCAGAGGTTTTGATAGAAATAGATAAAGGAGCATACAGAATGTTCGGGGCATATATTTGGAAGGATGAGGTGCTGAAAGTGCGAGTACTCTTTGAGCCACTCATAGTGCTCCTCCGCCGTGAACCGGAAATATATAGAATCAGAAAACTAAACGAATACAAAAAAAGTAGGAAAGGAAAAGCGGCGGCGAAGGACAGGCCGACCAGTAACGAGGATCGCCATAGGCGGAGGCCGTCTTCGGGAGAAAGTCCACGGCAGGTTCATTCCTGCCACTGTTGCTGGGCCCGGTGATCTCCTCATCCTCGATGGCCATCGCCGCGACAAACCGCAAGTACCGACACGCGCTTCGGGGAAAACCTAACCAACCATAAAATTAGGGGTGTGGTGAAATCCAATTATTAAACGGAACATTTAACATTTAATTAACTCCTCAATCATATGCCATTATTTTGCCCACTCCATCAACGGAGGCTATAATCATCTTCCTAAATCAACATTCCACGTCTTTAAGGACAGTGAATTTAACTGCTCAAAAATTAATTTGAAATTTAGTTAGAATTAAGATTATATTGAAATAAATAAGTGAAATTATGTGCCAAAACATTAAATCAAGTTTTTTTTAGTCAATTTTGAGCCATATTTGGATCACCTCATGGTATTTTTTAATCAGTTTTGAGCCATCTTTGGATTAGCTCAATGTAGAACGGAGCTCCGCTACCCACATATGATGTCAAATTGATGCATGCTAGAAAATTCGTGGTAATTGAGTAGCTGATTATCATTCTAACGTGGTACGAAGATTCAACAAACTCTTAGAAAAGAGAAAGCAACTAATAAGGACACCAGAAGAATTTACGTGGAAAATTTGTAAATGAAAAAACAACTAGATGTTGATCTAATTGAAGAGCTTCACTATAAATAATAATTACAAATACAACTTCTTCTCCCACATGTGGGAAATAGCTAGAGGATCTCCCAAGTTACTACGTTGACATGTGGATGAACTTTTGGTAGGGAACGAATGGTGACTAATAGCGATCGGCAGTGACTAGCAGGTGGTGATTGATGGTGGTCTGCGGTAGTCAGCGATGGTTGGCAGTTGTCGACGGCTTTCGTCGATGCTCAACTACGATAGACGATACTCAACGGCGACAGACAATGCTTAAAGGTGATCGGCGGTGATCGACGACGGCGGTCGGCGATGCTCAACGATGACAGACGATACTAGACGACAGACGATGCTAGAAGACGATTAGCGCAGGTCGACAGACGCAGGATTGTTTGATGGCGGTTTACGGTGGTCTGAGACTATCGACGGTGGTCGACGGCGATCGAAGTAGTGCTAGAATTTAGCTTCATCTCAATGTTTTAAGCTCTTCTTCAAGTCTTAAGCTCTCCTCAAACCTTAAACGCCCCTACCCCTCACAAGAGGCGTGAGTTCTATTTATAGATTTTTTAGAGTAATTAATACAGGAATATGAATCAGTTTGATTGGACAGTATGGAGAGTTTTCTTCTATCATACAACGTTTGCTGGATTTTTTTAGTATCTTAACGATGTCGGAATGTAGTAATCTTTGACTCTTTGGATTCTTCTTGTCAAAATCCTCGATTCAACTATAGGCTTGTTAGATTCGACATTTATTTGACCTTCTAAATATGCCCAGAAAACTTTCAATGGTGGTTTAATGACTTGATCAGAGCTTAATTTGACTCGAATTAGACTAATTTTGATATCATTGGGTCTGTCTCGTTGAGTCGGTCAGTTTGATTGTAATTTTGCTGAAGTCGGAGGTCTAAATGACTTTTTATTGATGTTTGAATATTTTTTTTACTCAAAGAATTATTTCGAGATCCGTGTTATGTCTGGAGATTTATGTCGGATAATGTTGATTTGTTGGAAGCATATCATTAACATTTAAAATATGATTTTTATATTTTTGTCACTTATATGTTTCAAAATATATTACTATTCACAAACCTAAAAAAGAAAATAATAATGATAAAAGAATTGTTTTTGAATTAAACTCGACTTGAGCAAGCATAACTGAAGTACGTTTGTTTTTTTTCTAGTCACTTAAGCTTGCACAAAGCTCTCTATATATATATATATATATACATATGACTCACGGGCTGATCTGAACCTGTTTTTTTTTTTTTTTTTTTTTTTTTTTTCTGTGGGATTTTTATATGGAGTCTAATATTGACACCTTAAGGTATTAGGCTCAACTCTTTTGCAATCAGTCAAACACCATTGTGTTATTGAAGTGTAAGGAGAGTTTACTGGTGGTGGGCTGCTTTTTTATCCAATAAAACTAAGTAAAATAGGAATAACTAACATGCACGGTCCAAGTCAAAAGTTTTCTTGCTAATGTTTTTTCAAAAAAAAAAATAAAATGTATGATTTCATATAGCACAACATAAATTAGGATTCATGAAATTCTAATATATATATTTATAATTCCTAAAGTATAGTCATTAGATTATGATTATAAAATAAAGGAATAATATGAATTTTCATGTATGTAGAAATGTACATATTCTAATAGACTCTTGTCCCTATTTGGCATGTTAAACGTATGTACCAAATGAAGTTTTAATGAGCCCAGCTCATTTAGTTAAACACTCATACAAATACCAATAATTAAATTATTTGTGAATGTCAAACTTTTTGGACACCTTTAATTTTAAGAATATGATATTTGATAAAGTCTTATAGATCTGAAAATTGAGTTTGCGGTATTAAGGGTGTAAGCGAGGTGATTCAGTTCGAGCTTAACTTATTGACGAGCTTGCGAGTCAAATTTGAAACAATATGATATGACATTGGGACGAGAGCCCTCTAATACCGATATACATGAGCACATTCATAGAAGGCAATCCGACCAGTTGTGGATCAATGACAGATCCCGTGCGACCCACGTAATTAACAAACTAAACTAGTTTGATGTTAATGCATGTTATGTCTAATTGTATGCAACTACTTTTTTTTCTTTACAAGGGAGATTCCAACTGCTGAAGAAGATTCAATCATAGAAGTTCGGTAGTATTACGATCCAAGATCGTAATCCGTACAAGTACGACCTATGGAGTGAGGTTGCTGGAAGGAAGAAGAATGGTCAAGTTTAAGGGCTCGGCTTACTGGTGTTTCTCTACGACTCCTACTCATCCACTAGTGCATCTGCAGCTTCTACGTCTACTGCATAGAAGGAGGATGTCTCTAGGCATGTTGTTGCATTCACTGCCTAGATGGAGACCCGCTTCTCTCAGATAAGGTTGGAGCTAAAGGCAAACATGGAGGCCAAGTTGAAGACTTGGTTCAGTGTGTTCCAACAGCGAATGAAGCAATGAGGAAAGGAAGCATTGAAGGAGGAGGATGGGGGAAGAGGCAGAGGATGATGAGGATGAGGAGAGACATGGGGAGGATGAGCAGGGATATTTTATGCTAAATTTAATGCATTCCATTTATTTAGTTATTTGATAGGATAATTAACTATTTGAATGTGATTTTATTAAGTTAAATGCTTGGAATGATTAATTAAATGATGTGAGTGCAACTGTGGTAATATAAATACTAAATATGATATTATTTTTATTTGTTCATGCTACGGGTTTCTGACGGCTTACCATCGGTGTTGCAGTGACTATTTATATACTAGGCATAACCGATGGCTAGTTGATGACCGTCTTGCCAATGAATAAATCGGCATATCCTCAACAATCAACTGATGAAACACGACGTCCATGACATTTTTTTGACGGTGTAACATTTACTAATTGCTTGCGGTGATGTCGTAGACTATAAAAATTGACTCATCGACGACACCGAATCGACGAAACATCTGTGCTATAAAACAACAGTCGTAACACTTTCTCGACATTTGAGCGGTCGTTAATTTCTAACTGAGGTATCGTCGGTCAAGTATACCGATAATAACCCACGGTAGATCATGCTTTCTGATTATTTAAAAAGTGCCGATTAAATGTCGTCGATAAGACATCAGTATTTTAATCTCAAGATCATGCTTTCTGATTATTTAAAAAGTGTCGAAATGTCGTCGATAAGACATCAGTATTTTAATCTCATCTGAATATCAACGGTTTAAAAATTTCAAACAAGTATTTTAGCTACGATCTTAAAACAGTCGATTTGCCGTAAAAAAAATATTAGAATCGACAATCTTTTTGTCGATAAACGATGAGATCTAGTCTCTGGAAATGACCAACTTTTTTATAGTGAAAGTTATTGACCATCTAGCTCGAGCTCATTGAGGCTCAACATTTTGGCTCACGAGCGGAATAAAAAAGCCGCATTCCAGTTATATCGATAATTATACCTTCTTTAGTGACCTATCGTGGCCTTTTTTCCTAGACTCATTTAAATGAATTTTCCAGTAAGCTCCCATGGCAATTTCGTTTGAGTTCACGACCCTACTCATGAGCCAAATATTAGTATCTTGAGCCTAACTGGAGCTTGACATTTGAGCTCGATTTAGGTGTACGACTCAACCTCACTCAACCTCATTTAACCTATTGTACCGTTCTAAAGTATCAAATATATGATTATGACGGTTCTGTTACAAACAACAATAGTACACATGGACAAAATTGTAATTTGTCCAGAAATAGCTGTCGCATACATATTTTCAAACCGCCCAAAAAAAAAAAAATTAGCCAGTTTATTTGCAACAACTTCCTTATAGCAACTTCTTAGGACAGCTAAGCTGTAACAATTTATTGATAAGTTACATTTATCATATAATTAAATTTTTAGGCGATGACTGTCTTGCCTAAATGAATAAATCGACATATCCTCAACAATCAACTGATGAAACACGACGCCCATGACATTTTTTTGACGGTGTAACATTTACTAATTGCTTGCGGTGATGTCGTAGACTATAAAAATTGACTCATCGACGACACCGAATCGACGAAACATCTGTGCTATAAAACAACAGTCGTAACACTTTTTCGACATTTGAGCGGTCGTTAATTTCTAACTGAGGTATCGTCGGTCAAGTATACCGATAATAACCCACGGTTGATCATGCTTTCTGATTATTTAAAAAGTGCCGATTAAATGTCGTCGATAAGACATCAGTATTTTAATCTCATCTGAATATCAATGGTTTAAAAATTTCAAACAAGTATTTTAGCTACGATCTTAAAACAATCGATTTGTCGTAAAAAAAATATTAGAATCGACAATCTTTTTGTCGATAAACGATGAGATCTAGTCTCTGGAAATGACCAACTTTTTTATAGTGAAAGTTATTGACCATCTAGCTCGAGCTCATTGAGGCTCAACATTTTGGCTCACGAGCGGAATAAAAAAGCTGAATTCCAGTTATATCGATAATTATACCTTCTTTAGTGACCTATCATGGCCTTTTTTCCTAGACTCATTTCCCCCCCCATATAATTTTATTTATTATATATGTAAGTTTTTTATACAGTACTTAACCTTTTATTACCGCATAAAAAATAATATTATTATTAAATTTTCAAAAAAATATATTTTTTTTGTATAAGTAAAAATTTAAACGCGAGATATGTTTAAGGCATCAGAATGGGCTGTTAAATAGACACGCGCGCATATATATATATATA